TTTTCAACATTAAACAACTAATGTGCAATGGACGTTAACCACACTAGTATTATTAAAACAAACTAACCTTGAGCAGTACCAATAAACTATACGAAAAACAATCAAAGCACACAGAATTACCGCCCCCACCTAGCTCACCACATCCACTATCCAGTGCCCTTGCAAGTTTACCACCATCTCCATCAACTAAGCCATCGATAAATTCACTTCCACCTTCTACGAATTCACCTTCCCCACAATTATCCAACCCGCCTCAATAGTAAAAGCAAAACTTTGCGTTTAGAGTATCATGAATCAAATTATTTTACACCCAACAATTTAAAAAATCAGATGCGAAATCTGACCCAACAAAAATAATTTCGAACAGCAAGCATAGACCGCAAAGAATATAGCAAGCAAAGAACCAAATGGAAACTTGATTAAAAACGCACGTAGAAAACTCTTCGAATTGGGGAGGGGGGAGGAGCTGTAAGCAATTTTCGACTTTCAGTTTTTGAGAGAGGAAAGGATTATCAGAAGAGAGGGGAATGAGAGAGGATAGGAATTCATTTCTCGTGTTTTGCTGTTTTGGAAAAGGTTCCCGTGTTTTGGCTTCAATTTTCTCAAAACGTGCAAAACCACGTTTTACATTTTCAGTGTTAATTTTTTTTTTTTTCCATTTTCAAAAACGTGTTTTCAAAAATAGGAAAGAGAACGCGTTTTCACTATTTTTGAAAATCGAAAACAGAAAACGGTTTGAAAACGATAAAGAGAACATGGCATAAGCCTCAGTTTGCTTCTCATTTTTCATTCATAAAAATGAAAAATATGACCGTTATTTATCACATCAAGCCATCAATTTTGAATTTCCATTTTTTGTGTGGGGTCTAATAACGACTATATTTTTCATTCTCATTCTACAATAATGAGAATCAAACAAGTCATAAATAGATCAAATGTTGCAATTTTTTCAAAAAAATATTAAACAGAATTTATAAGGATAAAAAATTATTTCTTATTATTATACTGCCGACAAAATGCCCCCACACGCTGGAGTAAACACCTTTTAGGGGTTTTTGATGCACATTATTCAAAAAAAAAAAATGTATTTTAAAATGTGTTGTGATGAAAATTATATGGTTAAAATATAAGGAATTTTTTTTAAATTTTTGTTTAATATTATTTTATTGAAAAAGGAAGAATGGTGCGTCGTCATGGGCATATTATTTGTCAAATTTAGGATTTCATCCTTACCTATTTGCGTGCGCAAGCATACGGAGGTGACTTTTCATCCAATTTAGCTAATAATTGAATTCAGGGTCTCAAAATCATAAATTGTTTGGGAATAGAGGTTAATTTTGATCGGAAGATGCCACCGAAAACAGCCAAGAAGACGCCGACGGGACCAGGCACGAAGCGGGCTGCACGGGCTCGGGCGACGCAGAAGACCCAGGTCCAGACTGAGGAGTCGAACGTGAAAGCCGAAGAGATGGTTGAGGAACAGAAGACAGTGGTTGTGATCGAGGAGAATGAGGTAACGGAGATGGGGAAAGAGGCGAAGGAGAAGGAGAACGCTATAAAGGCTTCTGGTCAGAGTAAGTGAATTCTTTTGATGATTGGTAGTATGGGAAATTGGTTTCTTGATAATTTATTTTAGATCTGTATATGTACAAGCGGGCTTGTTGATTAGGGCAGTATATGCAAATTTCAAATTTTCTTTTTATCAGGATCGCCCTAAAGATTCTTTGCTTTGTTTGTTACCATATCTCTGTAAATTTAGGTTATCTTGAACTTTTTTCCCCAAGTCAACAAGCCTCTTTTAGTGATGTTGGTCTTTAGAGTTTGACTTCGTTCTCTTAAGTTTTAGCTCAGAGAGGTTCATCAACGGGCCATAAACAGTGGGAGAACTGGGAAATCAGGATGGATTTTTAGGTTTTTACTGTAAAGACAGTATTTTTTTCGGTGGTTTGTTGGTATCCTTCCTTTCTGGAAGTTGTTCTTCTGTCTTAAACCGTGCAGAAGTTTTAAATATGAGGATTGTCTAAAGATGGTGGGGGGAATTAGAATTTCTCATTCTATTTTTCACATGTACATGATGTTCTTTTGGCAGAAGGATTATTCTAAATTCATCAACATATCAGATATTTTATAACAGACAAGTTATTAGCATAATGTTTTCGGCGCTAGCATAATATAGCAGATATTAGCATAATGTAACATACTGCTCCTGAAGATAGGGTGCAGTTTCTATCTATTTTATAAAATTATGGGTTTGGATTTCTCTCTTTTCTGCTGGCTTTAAGAAAGAAGAGTAAGATTATAGCTTCAAGTCATTTTAATTGGACATTGGCCTTCACTGTAAAAGTATTTTCACTGGCAGAACTTTGCAGGCTTTCTTGTTTGTTTCAGAAAGACATCTACTTTATAGAAGTTTAATTTTGATGATTATTACGATGAATACGTCTGTTTCTGGTGCTAGTAACAACCAACTACAGAAAGTTGGTGGCAAATGGTCCTGAACATTTGTGGTTTAAGTCTGTTGACTGTCCAATGAATATCTGTATCTCCTTTTTGCCTCAGAGGATGACGAGGTGAAAGAATCTATTGATGAATATGAAACGGGTGAAAGATTAGATTTGGAGGATAATGAGCCTGACTACGAACCTGAAGAGTATGTTGGTGTAGATTATGATGAGAAGGAAATTGAGGAAGATGCTCAGGAAGAGGGGGACGAAGTAGGTGAAGAACTCGAGGAGGGGGATATTGGTGAAGAAGAAGAGGGTGATGTTATTGAAGAGGAAATAGAAGATGTGCAGGAAGAACTTGAGCCGGAGGAAGCTGAGGAGCATGCTGAGATGGTTGATGCTAATGAAGAAGAAGAGCATCACAAAGTTTTTAAAGAAAGGCGCAAGCGGAAGGAATTTGAAATTTTTGTTGGGGGATTGGACAAGGATGCTACTGAGGATGATCTTAGAAAAGTCTTCAGTGAAGTTGGTGAGGTTACTGAAGCCAGACTTATGATGAATCCTCAGACAAAGAAGAATAAAGGTTTTGCATTCTTGCGTTTTGCAACTGCAGAACAAGCAAGACGAGCTTGTTCTGAGCTGAAGAACCCAGTGGTACATCTTTAATCATGTTGTTCTCAAAGCTAATGTATAACTTTTAAAACTTTTGTTGGATAGTAAATTTTGACAACCATATTCCAGATTCATGGAAAGCAATGTGGTATTACTCCAAGTCAAGACAGTGATACTTTGTTTTTGGGTAACATATGCAAGACATGGACAAAGGAAGCAGTAAGTCGATTAGGAATCCTTAAGCATGTATGTGCTTTAGATTTTGGGGAGTTGCTTAGTCTCTTCTGACTGATATTTGATGTTCTTCCAGTTGAAAGAGAAGTTGAATCACTATGGTGTGGAGAACATTGATGATTTGACATTGATTGAAGACGCTAACAACCAAGGTATGAATCGAGGTTTTGCCTTCTTGGAATTCTCCTCGCGATCCGATGCCATGATTGCTTTTAAGCGTCTACAGAAGAGGGATGTCATGTTTGGAGTTGATAGGCCCGCTAAGGTTTCCTTTGCAGATTCCTTCATTGACCCCGGTGATGAAATCATGGCTCAGGTACATACTTGGATGAGCTTTTTTGCTTAGTTGGAAGGATCACAATACCTGGTTGGTTTAGGTCATATTTTAGATCATTGTGCACTTGAATTGTGTCATGGTGCCGATAACATTTTTAAAAGCTTGAACAACTAGAATTGTTTTCTTTTTGAGATATCTGTTACTTCTATTTGAATGGTTTATAGGATTTTTTTCTTTTACTTGGTCATGGTATGAGAAAAAAAAGAGTAGAGGCTGAGGCTTCGAATGCTCTGTTTTCTACCTTGCTCTGATCTCCGACCACTATATCATCACTTTGCTCTTGCATACATGTATTTATTAATTTAAATGTATTTTACGCACTGTCTTATTAATTATTATTATTGCATTTGTGATGTAATTAGTAGGTCTTTAATCCATATCTCCTTTTTTGATGCAACATACCTTTTTATGCTGTCGGTACTCGTAATCTTGAGTTCAGGTTAAAACTGTGTTTGTGGATGGTCTTCTTGCTTCTTGGGACGAGGATCACATTCGGAAACTTCTTAAAAAATATGGGACAATTGAAAAAGTCGAGCTAGCCCGCAACATGCCATCTGCCAGGAGAAAAGATTTTGGATTTGTCACATTTGATACCCATGACGCAGCAGTTAATTGTGCTAAAAGAATCAATAATGAGGAATTGGGTGAAGGAGATAATAAGGTTTTTTTTCACCTATAGTTAAGTTATTTTTCTATGTTCTTGTGCCTATTGCAATGGGTGCTAAATGGTTACTTATTCCAGGCTAGAGTTAGGGCCAGGCTTTCCAGACCACTCCAAAGAGGCAAAGGTAGACATAGTTCTCGGGCAGATTTTTGGCCTGGCCGTGGATCGGTTCGAGGTGTTAGGAGTCCATGGAGCCGTCCAGTTCCGCATAGTATCCCCCTCCGTGGGACAAGAGGCTATGGAGCACGTCTTCCACCCATAGTTGATCGTGGTTTTAAAAGGCCTGCCACTATACGTGATAGACGACCAGTTATGACAATGCCTCCTAGGACTAGACCACCGGCTCCGTTACCGAGGTCCTATGACAGGAGACCACCTGGTATTTATCTTTTTAAGTTCCATTCAGCTGTATACTTCAATTGCAGTGTCGACAAATTTTTTTTCTGTACAGTTTCAGTTTATCCCAAGAGCGGTTTGAAGAGGGACTATGCTCACCGTGAGGAGCGTCCCCCTAGGAGCATGGCTGCCACGGAATATAGTTCTAGAGTTCCACCGGATAGACTCTCGTCATATAGGGACAACTATTCTCCTCGTGGATCCAGTTACCCTGATTTGCCGAGAGGTGGTACATCTCGCCCTGCCGCAAGAGGTTCTTATGTTGATGATACTTACAGCCAAAGGTATGAAAGGCCACCTCCAACTTACCGTGAGGGACGAGGACGTGAATATGATTCTGTATCTGGGTCAAAACATCCGTATGCTGCAGTGGTAATTTATCTTTTGGAACATATTTCTGTATAATGCCATTTCAATTTCAATCTTTTAAAACTTTTGTGAAATCTTCAATGTGAAAACTGACATTGACTATGCATGCAAGGACGATGTTCCTCCTCGCTATGCTGAGGCAGGAGTTCGCCATTTGCGTCCTCGTTTGGATTATGATCTTGGTGGAAGCGCTTCTCAATATGCTTCTGATGCTTACAGTGATAGGTCTGTTATCATGTATATGTTTGTAAAACATAAACGTAATCTCTTGGATCCTGTGCCCTTGTTTTTAACTTCGGCATTTTCGTATGGGCTTTCTCATATGATTTGCAGGCTTGGTAGGTCAAATCTAGGATATGATGGTAGCCAAAGGTCCCTCTCCAGTCAAGATTCTCAGGGGCCATACGATAGTCGTCAAGGAATGAGCTATGGTGGAGGTAAATTCTGTGTTGTAAATTTACAAGTTTATTGATTTGGATTAACTGCTTTTGATCTCATATTTTAAAGGAAGAAAGATTAATCCCTTCTGATATTTGTTATGCACGGGTGGTCATTCACTTGACATGTGCGCTGGCGTCATTGCAGGCTCTTATGGTGGTAGTGATGTTAGTGGGATGTACTCATCAAACTATGGTAGTGATTACATGTCCCAAGGAAGTGATGTACGTTTATTATTTATGATATTAATTCTCTTCAGAGGTTGTATTGTTTTCATGTACTTTCTAATGCATACTTGATTCTGGAACTTTAGGTTGGTGGCAGCTCCTACTCATCACTCTACTCTGGACGAAGCATGGGTGGTAGTAGCTATATGGGAAGTGGTGGCTCCGGATCATATTATTGAGGTATGCCCTTTTGTTGTTTCATATAATCTTGCTGAAATAGTTTGTCTAAATGAGGAAGCTTTGTTATTTTACCTTTGAATTGTGTTTGTCTAAATCACGATTGCCCAAAGTCATAGATGACATTTCTCGGTGATAAGAGCTGTGCTTGATGGAAAAGGAGCATTGTTGTTACTTTTGATTTGTCTATGGCAGAGATTGGAATAGAGAAGAGGCTTCTACAGTATTTAAAATTATTTGAGGGTTGTGAATTATCATACTCAAGTTTCAGATGAAACATTGTATAAGTATATAGCCTCTATGGGGTTGGAAGAGAAGAAACTTGTGTACAAATTTTAGTAGTACTGGTGCATTGCAGCAGACCATCTAAAGATCTGTATTTAGGATATTTTATCATCTTGGTACTTCTCTGCTGTAAGGGAACTCGAGTTTTTCCGAGGTTAATAGACTTCTTCAATATACGTTACCTTTAAATGCATGTTTCCTAGTGCTATCTCCTTGATTGCTTGTAAAAGGGGTATAACATTTGCTTCAGAGGGTGAATATAATGGAAAACACTGCACGCTCTATGTTGCATTTACTTGAGGATCATTGTCTCCATTACCAGGTGGATTTTTTAGGATGAGCGAGATCTTTGAAGTTAGAAGTAATTTTATTTTCCACTTTTTCAAGGTTCTACCCTCGATAATTCGAAGACGCTGGGAATAAGTTGGCAAAGGGTGTCTATTATGCTTCCGACAAGTTTTCTTTATATTCCTTGATGATTAAGCAATCGTGGATTGACCTTCTTTTACAAATATTAGACATGAGTCAAGTTGGCTTTATTTGTTTTATGTTTAACAAGAAGTTAGGTGGATGTTCTTAACTTGGATCCTTGGGATGACAGTTTTTTCAGGACGGGATTTCGCATTTTGCTCATTTGAATTAATAAGATAATGACTTTGTTCTTCTGGACTTTCTTTGCTGGCCAAAAGCATTAGAAAAACATCAAAATTGACCAACTAATGATAGCAATCAGCTTTTCAATATCTTGTGTTGTGCCTGCAAGTGATTTAGTAGGGTCCCACCTCTTTAGTTATTGGTGGCAGTGGGTTGTTGAGGTTATTTTACTGTCTTGTGCAGTTGTTTCCACCATCCGTAGTACGCAGCATGGATATGTACTGTATGGTGCTTTATCCTCAGAATAATTTCTTTCGGTGCTTAAGGAAGTATACCAAGTTTTACGTGAAATGATGTTNAAGTATACCAAGTTTTACGTGAAATGATGTTTAAATCCCCCAAAGCTGTTTGCATAGGTGATGTGTATATTCGTTTTTGACCGAGTTATCTATAATTATGGTTCGTTAGATAACGGGTGAGGACATAGGACATGGTTTTTGGCATGGTATAAAAAGGCAGTAATGAGGCGCGCCTCACTGTGAGGCGCATGTAGTATGCCTCGAGGCGGTATTTTTGTGACTAAAAATATGAGGCTCGCCTCTAAATTTGAGGTGCATGCCTCAAGATGCACGCCTCATGGAGCATGAGGGGTGCGCTTTATTTAAAATTTGATTTTTCAATTGTTTGAAAAGAAATCAGAAATGACCCTTCTTAAAAAAGAAAAAAAGCCCATTTAAAAAGGCATTTTGGGCCCCAAACAAAACAATAAAATACCTAGAAAGCTAAACGATAACCAGAAATTAGAGGACCAAAAAGGGAACAGATTCAACAAAAATTCAAAAGTCAGAATTCAAGAAGAGTATCGTCTTCTTCATCAGTTCAACAGGTATGTTTTTCCTCTTTTCTTTTTCTTCTTAGGGTTCATTAAATCTTGCATGCAATTAGTTGCTTCATATATACATCTGGAAATTATAAATTTTATAAATGTTTTGATTTATATAATTAACACACACGATTTCATCCAATCGTTTGTATAAACTCTAAAACTAGATGAAGATGATTTTGTAGAAATTGAGAGTGGCAAAGAGGAAGATGATTGAGAAATTAGATATGATGATTCCATTAACGATGTTAGTAATAGTGATGATAGTGCAGACTATTTGTTTTTTTTTTTAGTTTAAGCTGCTTCTTTTTTTCCATTGCAAATGGAGTAATTTCTAACTTCTGTAATACTTTTTATTTTGTTAAATATCTTTTTTCTTTAGGTGGACTATATCTCAATATGCTAATGGCTATATATCCTATTTACTATATGCTCAAACTTTGATTTTTTTGTATTTTTGTGTTATTTTATAATTCTTTTATTTAGATTTTTTTTTGTGAGGCTTGCGCATCAATCCACCTCGAGGATTGCGCCTCGCTTTATAAAGAAAAACCGCCTCAGTACTTAGTTTCGCCTTTTTAAACCTTGGTTTTTGGTGAACTTACTGTTTGTGTAGCGCAATCATGTTTGATATTATTGTCTTGTTTAAAAGCTCAGAATACCTGAAATCTTCTTGTCCCTAAAATAAAATATTTTGAGTGCCGTAGAGGGCTAATAGAAGTTTATGAAAGGTCACCTGAGCTGCAGAAGAACATTTTCACGTTAGTCACCCTGGCGCGTTGAATAATTTGTTACCGACTTACCGGTGATTCTCAAAAGAATTATGATCAACTCTTTGATGAAGTAGTTATTATATATCTATAATTTTTTAGCCGAGGGATACGACAATTCACCATTGTACAGTACTTGCTTTTTGTAGCTTGCTTACTAAGCTTTCAAGTGCTTATAAGCAGTGTGCCCCAAGGAATGTGTGGCTAAAAAGTTGGTAAAAGTTGATAATAATGGGGTTTGACCAACTTATAAGAAATTGTAAGCTTTGCCAAACATGCACTTAGTATGAATCTCCGGATAGGGAATTTTCAGCTCTGTTTGTGAGGCTAATCTTTGTATTTTTTCTCATACTGAAGGTTATTTTTAGTATAATCACTTTGTACATCAGAAATGGTAGCATATTCTTTTCCTGTTTTAAATACTTTCTGCATTGTTCAGGAACTGTTTGATATTTGCACTGTGTTCTGCAAGTTCATGTTAGTTGAATATATTTTCTCTCATCACAGAACTATTATCTTTGTTAAGCTTTTGTGTGTGAAGCATATTTTGATCGACACTTTATGATGTGTTTAACTTGCATTAGGCTGTATTCCACTTTTCTGAATCCTTTCGAAAGGATAACTTATATTGTTATGTAGTTACAAACAAACGTCTTGTTTTGATCTGATCATACTATTGCTTGTTATCTTGTGAATTCTGTCTTGATCGTGGACATAGTTGAGATGGTTTTCGACTTGACCTCCCATTGGCCATATTTACTTTTGCAACCTGCCAAGTTATTAATTGGCTGTTGTACGTGATTATTTTGTGTTTGATCCTTTAATGTCCAAGTGGATGGGGTTAGGAACTCAAAATTTCTAGCCAGGCCAGAACGAAGAACGTGCCTTTTCAGCAACTCTTTTGCAAGATGGTTCGTATTAACTTGTTCTTGGGGGTTGTAATTCTCTTTGCAACTGTATATGTTGAAATGAAATTTTTGTCTTCATTTTTTTTCATAATTGATTATGTCTAGGTGAAGAGTTATGAACTCTCGTCTTGCAGTGTTTACTTATAGAAGAATGTGCAATTTGAAATCTGGTTTGTTATGCACTTTTGTTTGTGTACCAATCTGAATAAAGGAGTTATTATCTAGGCAACGGCGTTCAAGTATTTGTATAACTGGTTTTGACCTCTTGAATCGCCATTCCTCTCGTGCTACAAGAGTTTCATTAGCAAAGAAAGCTTCGTTAATGAGATGGATTGTTACTATTCTTTTTTGATCAGTACAAATATTTCGAAGGGGCGAACATTCAGGTTTTAGGGTGTGTTCCGTAGAGATTAAAATTGAAAAACTAGCAGTTATTGTTGACTTTTATTAGACGAGAGAAATCCAATAATGGTTATATTTTCAATTTGAATTGGATTTTAAGCTTAGCCAAACATGCTCTTAGTCACAAACCATATTGTATGGAAAAATTTCAATGCAGATCAAACAATTTCAAATTTCTGCATTCAAACTGAAATGAACCATATTTTGCAGTTGAATATGATTTCAAACCATGATTTTAGCTGCATAGAAATTTTATCTTTTATCTTTCAAACACAAAATGCAATAGTAGTACATTGGTCTAAATACAAGATCAACACCATGAAATGATTCAACTTCAAATTGAAGCTTTAAGGTTCAATCTCTGTGAAGTATATAAGGAAATTATTATTGTATATCACCTATCATTTCTTTAAGAGCTAATAGAACTCAACTAGCAAGTAATTTTATTGAACTATAAATTGAAATATAGAACAATAATTCAGTTTGGTTTCGCGTGATTTTAAACTATTGTTACTTGAATTGAACTATTTTTAAATGGTTTGGTTTTAAAACTGAAACATCGGTGAGGGTTCAAGCCATTTTTGTTCAAGTTCGATTTTGTAATTTGACGATTTATTGGTTCATTATTTATAAAATCGCATAATTTTTCAATTGAAAGAGTGGCTCTACAATGGTTAGGTCACGAAATGTATGGATAATAAGTATGGGGTGAAGCGATGTGGGGCTAGAGCTGTCATATGGGATTGTGGCCATGTGATGGTGGCTCAAGCTCTAGTGCAAAGGCAGGGGCTGAGGCTGGACAAATCCAGTGGACTCGAACATCTCTATTGAGATTGTGACTCTCTTCGAGTAGTGCACCGTTTGTCATTTGATTTTAGTCTGTTTTCGTTTTCTTGTTCTTTTTGATACTGTAGCTTTGTTACAAGAAGTGAACTGTGGTTCATGTCGTTTTGTTCCTAGATTCGGGAACATTGCTAGCTATTCTTCAGTTAATTCTGTTGGATTGATTATGATTCCAACTTTTATTTCTCACGATGTTCATGATGATTTGATTTGATTTAATGAAGTTGTGGTTGGTGTCATAAAAAAGGAATCGATGTTATAATTTTAGCCAAACAAGCATGCTTGGGAAAATTTCGCTTATAAATAGTTTAAATTATAAATAGATAGAAATTAATTGTTAATAATGAGTTTCACAAAATGTTTGTATAAAAAGTAGATTGATCATATTATAAACCATTTATAAAGTATATTAATAAGGGCAGAAAGGCATCTTCACATTTTTTTCACTTAAAACAACTAAAATAAAAATTTAATTAATAATTGATAAACAAAAAGATCGAAAAAAGAAAAAAAATTGATTCTTCTTCACCTACACGACCACCCCTACCTCTGCCATCACCAACCATCACCCACCTCCGACTCTGACTCCAACCCCACGCTCACCCCCACCCGGCTGCAACCAATGAAAATGGTGAGTTAATGTTTTCAGACATTAAGATTTGTTGTCATAATCACCCGTGTTTCATTCTTTATTAACAAAAAATTGTTTCTTAAAATGATTAGGCCATGTCATTTTCCACCAGCAAAATGAGGTGACTTTTAACTAGGAAAAATGCTATCTAGCACTAATTTATTTAGGTGAGAGCAAACGTATACCTGAACTCGTCAAATGAATTAAAAAAAACCTTCATTTTAGTTGACATGTTTAAGTGGGACTCCATTGCTACCGAGACTCTTTAAGTATCATTGATGTCAAATATCATTTACTCGCTACAAGTTGAAAAACACCAACCACCCAACTTGTAGAGAGATTTTACAACTTTATTTTGTTCCGGTTTCGTTATCAATTTGTTTTTAGTTCCTTGAGTTTTTCAAACAAACATTTTGTTTTTACTTTCTAGTTTCTTCACTGTCACACTCATTTCCACAACAATTCTTTTAAAAAATGATCATTTCTCATGTTTCACCATTAATGTCCCTATTCTTAACTACACAAAGAACAACTTCTAAAATAATCAAAATCAAACAAGCGCTTAGTTTTACCGGTAATTTAATATGCTGACAAGAAAAGAATATCTTTAGTGCAACAATGTGAATTGTTGTACGTGAGGCAAACAAAATGAAAATTTAGAGAAGAACATCTTCAATGGAAGTGTAAATTTGACTCATTGTGGACTACATGTAAAAGAGAGATGATGCACACAAAAGAGTGAAGATAAATTATAAAAAATTAAGCGAATGTCTAGCATATATGCCCACAGTTGGATGGTATGCTATAGCCTATACATCCACAACCTTTTTCCTTGTCTTGCAAATATTTTGGAGTGATGCGACACTTTTTTGTGCAATCCACCACTCAATTGCAGATACCATAAATCAAGAGAGATTTTTCAAATAAATAAATTTACACCACTCTAAACCCCAATTGCGACCGGTAATTTGCAAATACTGGAACACCAATATCAACATGTAATTGCACCCTGTACATTAGCGCTTTAGGAGCCTGACATTAGGAGACCAGAAATTTCTTTTGCAATGAACAAGCTTAGAATGTTTGGGTGTCTTATCTTAAAATTAAGTTCAAGATGTGTGACTTATGTAGACTTTGAAATACAAGTTCACTTTAAAAAAAACAAGCCATACATTTGCTGTTTATATTTAATATAAACACCTTCAAACATGCTCCAAGTCAACTTCTTCTAAGCCCTTTATACATTCATTGGCAAGCTACTGGACATGTACTACAGATGCTTGAAGGGGACCTATAACCATCGATCAAGAATCAAAGCCAAATTAGGGCCCGTAAGACATTGATTTTGCTTGTACTTTTACTTCCCGTAAAAGAGCTTTTGAAAGAAGTAACCTTAATTCTTGAAAGAATTTCCTATTCCGAAAATGCTTTTAGAGAAAATCATGTTGGATTAGTTTTCTCTAAAAGCACTTATATCATAAAATTAGTCCATGGGGTCAAAAAAGATCATTTTGACTTCTCAAAAGCCATGCCAAACAATCCCTTAAATCTTTATCTTTGACTGGTTACTTAAATGCATATTCAGGCAACAAATATCAATATCGTAACTTCAACATACATATGACACTTCCTAAAGTTCAGGATAAAAAGGCCGTTCATAACAGAACTGCAACATAGACAACACATCCTAAGAGTCAAGATCAACACATTCATATGACATCCTAGGATTCAGGATCAAAAACATTCATACAGAACTTCGTTTTGCTACTTGCCATCGCCAGATATCTGTCTCAACGTCCAGTTCTGATGCAACCGGATACACCAGTGCCAATTTTCAAGAAATAGTACTCCCATTAAGTCAATTCCGGTTTCTAAAAACCCTAGGCCGACAACACGCCAGTTTCTAGAACTCAGAAATGTAGCAAGACCTTCCAAAGAAAACAGGTTCAAAGAGAAAGGACCTTGTAGTATCGAACAGACGCGTCTGGTTTTTACAATCCACATAAGCTGGAAACCTTTTTAAGCCAAACTAATAAATAAAGGTGTTTCCATTTGCATTTACAAAACCCCTTAAACAAATGTTACACAGGAAAGTAACATTAATAGATCATGGGTTCAATTGTGCCCATAAAGATCCATTCAATCTTTTAGGTCCCAACTCCACCTCAATGATTATGCTAAGATGCTGTCAAAGCCTATACATTACATATGTAAGCATTTCATAAGTCTCAAGTGCTTGTTTGATAAAACTATGCTAAAATTTTATCAAATTCTCAACTTATCAAACTTCAATTTAACGACACAATTCATGCAAACCACAAGTTTTATCAACTTTTCAACAACACATTTCATCGAACTTTTATTGAAGTCTACTAAAACTTTTATCAAAAGCTTAGTCAAGCAACACTTTAATGAATCATATTACCAAAAATAACACACACACAAAAGTAATCCTCAGTATTTCTTCACTATCAACTGTTGGAATAAAGACTTAATTAAATATTGCAGATAACATAGGCAAGAGGTTAAAGAATATCACAGTACTCACATATATGCATCTAACACTATAGCTCACATATAGACACCTAACACTATAGCTCTAACAACTCCATAAGAGCACACTGAAGAATGAAACAATTTCCTATGGCTCAGCCATAGTATACATATTAGTATCACAGGATCAAGTATTTCAAAATATTAAAGAACTGATTATAATAATTGCTAAAACACCCGTATCAATTTTCAAATGATCTTTCAAATAACACATTTATTTCTCTCTTTTCCCATTTCCGAACACACTATTTATACTCCATATCAAATTGAAATCTCAGAATCCTTTAAACCATTAATTGAATATACATAATCCATTTCAATGATTGCCCTTACATTCGCACAAGGTGCTTTATGTTAATTTGCATTCTTTAAGGCAATCGGAAATCACATAACCACTAAACACCTTGGGAGAACATGTTGCTAACACCTAACTATAGGAAACAAAAAAACCAATAGCATGCAATTTCGAAATTCTTCCAAGATCGAAAAGCTCTTTATTTACGCATTCAATTAGAACAAAGTTTTTGGACTATCATTAGAATCACAATACAGAGAAAAGTAACTTCAACTAAAGAACAAGCTAGCAGTAATCAGCATCAAAATGCCTGTTAAATTGGCAAGCTACGTGGAAAGAAGAAAAACACATCGGATACACATACACCAGAAAAGAGACTCAAATGTCCTGCACCACGAGCTCCATTGCTCAATTAGCATCAAAGATTTCATAGTCTTCACCGTTGAAACTACTCTCAGACTAACTCCTACCCCAATTTTCATATTAAATCATCTTCTAGCCTACCTCCTCGTAGGATTTTAAAGCTCAGGCATCATCATTTTCTTTGCTTTCTTAGTTTTGCTCTCAGATATTGCATCAGCAAAGGCCTCCACAATCCTCTGTTGAGAACCGAGTATCATCTCGGTCCTCTTCAACTCCATCTCCATTCGCATCTCCTCAATTCTGCGTGCCATGTCCATCTTCTTCTTCTCCATCCTCACAAACCCTTCACCCAAAGCCCTTATAGCCGCCACTACCTGTCCTACCCCATTATCTCCTTTCCTTCTATTTCCATTTTCATCTCCTCTTTTCTCCAATTCACAAGTTCCCATAAATCCATCTTGCAAAACCTGAGTAGAACCCCCCAAACAACCAGCACTAGAACTAAAATTACGGCTATAGTCATCAAATTTACTTGAAAACTTTGGTGCAGAAAGCCCCAAATTTCCCTGGCCTGGGATTCTAATTCGAAAACCGGCTGTTGTTCCATGACTCGTAGGGCCTTGATTAAGAAAACTAGCCTTCTGATTATTGTAACCATTATTGTTGTATACCTCATTGATGCGTTTAGTGCTGTTCCTATGGTCCTTTTCCGGTAGCTCTTCGTCAGAGGAGGGCGGGGTTGATATGGGGCCGTTTTCCATGGAGTGCATGCGTTGGAAGTGGACCCATGAGGAGGAGAATCGGCTGGAGCCACCGAAAGCGGCGGCGCGTTGGATCTCAGCGCGGTAGCGCTTGCGGAGTTTCTCCATCTTGTGGCGACACTGGACGGATGTCTTGGCAGGGCTTGAGGGGCATCGATAAGCAACGTCGTTAGCTACTTCCTGCCAATGGAAGGCGCGGAGATTACCACGACGGAGTGAGTACCATTTATCCTTGTAGGCATCGATCAGAGCAACCGTCTCATCGGCGGACCAGCACGGCGGCGGCAGGCGGCGAGAAGCTGAAGCGGAAATAGCGATGGACGGTAGAGCCAGGGTAGCTGTAGGGATGTGGTCGTCGTTGACCGACGTAGATGACGGTGAAAAAATTGTAGCCATGAATTTTTTGGGTGGGTGAGCAGGTTAACTGATAAGGGATCAGGCACGGCGGAGGAGGGGGAAAATATAAAATAAGTGGTGGAGAGAGGAGGAGGAGGTTGCGGTGAATCGGGTGGCATAATGGAATTATTGATTGGGGTGGGGTAGGGTTATTAAAAGCGGGGGGCGGCAGAGGAGAAGCAACCGCTAAAGAACTAACTTGCGCCGTGGATGGCGTGCGCACAATCCGAAAACTAGGGTCACTGCTGGGTGGGTTTGATTTGTTTTTTGCAAAGGGATAAATTTTGGGTACACCGCCTAACCGCGTGTGCTGCGGCGGCGGCGGGGGCTCTGACTCGAGGAGCCTTTCGTGGCGTTCGTGGGCTGTGGGGTTTTGACGGCCGGCTCTTCCTATTTTATTTTTTTGACCTTTTCGCCACCGTTTTCTCTCGCTTTCGTTGTACTATTTAAGGAGAAATACTTGTTTTTGGCTTTTACTCGTCAATTTAGGTTGTGTTTGAACCACGTTAATTTGAAAGAATATATTATGAAATAGTAGATTGATGGAGAATGTATAGTTGAAAAGGAAGGAAAAGTTATTGATGTAATGAAAAATATTATTTTATTAAAAAATGTGTGGTTGGAAATGAGTAGAAGAATGAAAATGAAAAAAATAATGTACACCAAACGGGAGCTTAAGTAGTTTTTGACTTTTTTTTTTTTAACACGCTATATTTTTTATTTTTGTATAAGTAACATTAAAAATATTGTTGATTATCTCTGGTATAAAATAGGCCAACCCATATGTTCCATAGCTTGTTCAAAGAAAGATGAATTAACTTTTTATTTAGTCCGATGTTCACTGTCAACAACGAATAAAGAATACCAAACATGCTCAATAAAACTTATATATATGTTTCAAATAAACAAGCACGAGTTGAATATACAAGATGTTAGATATTTTTCATCATTTTGCATGTATTATCTTTTGTTTTGCGAATGTTTTGCCGCTCCGACTAGTGTTTGCCGCTACGCAACGGGGATCGACCTGCCCGGTCAGGTCGCGGGGGTCGAGGGGGCAGCGCCCCCCGTGGGGGCTCGGGGGCAACGCCCCCGAAAGAGAATTTTATTTTCAGAAGTTTTTGAATAGGTATGTTTCTTCCTACAGATGCGTCCATTCATTTCAAGGGACACACCTATTCAAAAGGTTGCCTCCATTTCTATATATTCTGGGCGAATTCTCATTTGCGAGACACTTTTATAAAAATTTCTATTCTTCTATCTTTCTCTTGGCATCATCAGTTTCTCTATAGAGTGTTTCTTGGTTTGATCAAATAGTCACAATTTGAATCAAACGCCTCCATTGTATCCTGAGAGAGATTTTCTATCATACCCCGGTCGTGACTTTGTTGGAAAGGGGAGAAATATCTCTTAAAAGATAACGATTTTCGTGCCTTGGAGTTATTTATTGTTCCAGATTTCCTACATATTTCCCAACACAAGATAGAAGGTTATACGAATGGATTCTTATGGTATGATTCACGCAGTCTACTTAGTGGCGACATAATGCTACTAAGAATTGATAAAAAATTGTGAGTCTTATAAAATATATGGTTAAAAAAATAAAATAAAATAGATTAGAGCTGACCATTTTTTTAACAAACAAAAATTTTACCAAGCAAACAGTTAAAATTATTGACTTCGTATCGTCAGTAATCTCATAAGGAGCATATTGCCTAACTTATAAGTTGTAACAATCTGATAGCGAAGTTAGAGTTGAGTGTTCAACTCTAGTAGTTTACTAAGTGATTGTGCTACATGTACATAATTGGTTTTACATAATGATTTGTATACATATGATATGGTGAAATATAATTGTGTTAGAATTTCTTCAACCAAATAAAAAAAAAAAATTCTCACTCTTTTTTGACATCTCGTCTATATGTAAATTCTTATGTACAATTGGCATTATTCTTTACTAAGATGCATAACTAAACGGCTCATTTGAAAGTATGTACTTAAGTTCAACTTTCAAAATATTATTTATAAGGTTGAAATAGGAAGTAGGGATGGAGAATGTTGTCTATCGTCTATAGTTGAAGTAAAGACATTATCATTTTTGAAGACCTCTTTGATTAAAAAATGATAACACATCATCTATAGTTCACTTCGATCGAATTAGGATACCATACTCTTCATAGTTGTACTAAAGTCTAATAACAATTCTCGTTAAAAATGTTACACCTCAGAATTTACGAGGCCTCCACATAAATGTCAACTTGGTACTGAAGCCACCTAGGCTCCCAACAATGAGACACATGATAAGTTTGTACATTTGTCGTAATATCTAAAGAACCTGCCTTCACCATTGCCATTATTATCATCCATTTGGTTTTTGCGCGACATCTCTAACATGTAGGACCCTTGTCGGTTGAATGCTTTCGACAAAGCATGACATTCGAACACAGACTCGTGTACTTTAGGAAGTGTTCAATAAGAAAACCGTCTAATCAATTTCTAAAAATTAACATTTGATCTTTAGGGATCAAGAAAAATCTTATGGAATCAATCTCCACAAAGAAACCTGGTTGCACCAGGAAATAAACCCAAGGAAGAAAATCTATCATAACTCAACAAGGAGTCACACTAACAAATAGAAATGCGACTTGTGGAATTAGGGCTACATGTGCTACCTTTAATGCACAATGAATCATTCTTTAACTATAGCCAAATTTGTGCTTGCTTGTCTCCTACTACACTTATTTTGTATATTACTTTGTACAGACAGTTGACTTGATCGTCGAAGTACCAACAACCATCGATCCTTTTTCATGGTCTGAAGATTTTGGTACTAAGAGTTTTTGTCTAGATGTTCAGTAACACATATGTCGACAGAGACATGACTGTAGATCTGTTGAAAGCAAAGCCTTGGGGATTTTTTAGGCCAACAAAATATAATAGGAGCTCGTTTGATAACGATTAAAATCTAATTAAAATTGAAAATATAGCTGCTATTGGGTCCCACTCGTCTAACAAAAGTCAACAATAACGGCTAATTTTTTAATTTCAATCCCTACCAAACACGCCCTAAATCTTTATAACAACAATTATGTATTGGTATGAAAAAGTCTTTTTTGCAGAGTATATAATCCCCAAGTCCAAGTCTAGTATTCATGTTGAGCGAAGGACTTTCTCATGACATGTGGGTAATTTTATTGTCTTGATTTTTCATAAAGTGTATGAAGTTCATCGCAGATCTAAATTTGAGCTTCCGATCATCATCCGCAATCTTCGCACGTTAGGATCCTCGTTTTTGCAAAGATATAATACAATGCTCTTGGCAGAGTATAACAAATATATAAAACTATAAAACACAATTTATTCACATGTTGCATACTGCTCGGAAAACATATCATTGCAAACACGATGTCATAACGCTCTTGTTTGGCGGGGATTAAAATTAAATTTTTAGTTGTGAATTTCACGAAATATATGGTTAAAATTAATTATTAATTTTGACTCGATTTAAAATCTTGATTTTAATCCTTACCGAATGACGACAATGTTTCACACAAAATGGAGTTAACGTCAAAGATTACGACAAAGTGTAAAATATTTTTTTGCCAATTTAGTGCTGTTTATGTTAATTTCAGTTGTCCTAAATGAAAACTAGGGAAAATTTCATATTTCAAGTGTATGGTTTACACCAATTAAAAAGTCAGGTAGATAGTTTAACAATTCAAACCTCAGATATTGGATAATTAATTAAAAATATTTATTAATTAGGTCACAATTATACAATTAATGATCATATATACATAATTATATGTCACAATTTATTTATTGGTCACATATTATCAAATTAATTAGTCACTAATGATTTCGAGGTCACAAGTTCAAAAAATTATAGGTCACAATTAATTTCATTGGTCACATATTTTTAAATTTGTTGATCACAAATTATTTTTCAGTTACATATTGTCAAATTTTTAGGTCACAGTTAAATATTTGGTCACAGATAACCAAATACTTGGTCACATACCACAGACACTACCACTTCAACCACTTTTGACCACCCTCACTCCGCTGCCGCCATCACTACCACAGCTACCAACATCACCACCAACAAACTCTGGCATTCAACCACACACTATCAGCACCACCATCAACCAAATTCGAACCCACCACACACCACATCTGTACCATGCCGTCGCCACCACTGCAACACGTCGTCGCCACCACTGCAACACGTCATCGCCACCCAACCAAAAAAAAAATCACGTTACACCACAACCACCACCCAACAAAAAAACCCCCAAACCCGTCACCGCCACTACACCCCCACACGTCGCGACGTCGCCACCACCACAACTCCACTCCTCCACAGCCCACATACCCACAGTACACACACCCATAGCACCCATTGCGATGCTGCTGTGAAAGCGTCACACGACAGCGTCACAGCGGTAAAGATCGACCACCCAACATGTGCTCCAAGCGGTGGTCTTGAAGGAGAAAATTTTAGATCAAGCTGCTGTGCTTCTGCCTCGATTGTCGCCGTGAGTTCGGAGATGGATTGTTGATGTGGGTGGTGGTCTTTGACGGTGGGCGGCGGTCGACGGTGGGTAGAGATGAGATTTACAGAGAGAGGGAAGGGGAGGGAAGGGAGGTGATGGAGTTGAGAGTGATAAATTAGGGCCGGGGCTTTAATATATTACCTGATTTTTGAATAATGAAACTTGGACCCTGTTTTTTGAATTCCAATTTTCAAACACTTGAATTATGTAATTTTCCCTAAAAACTACACACGGACCTAGCAGGTTAATGTTGGAGAAAGAAAAAATTACCTAAAACTAGTTGTTTAGTATGGACTTTCTAAAAATCAGGTTTAACTGTTTTTAATCAAAAACCAGGTTTTAATTTCACAATTAATATTAATAATGATATTTTAAATTAAATTAATCTATATACCCACACCTACCCCCATCACCACCAAATTTCACACAATTCCCAAACCCTACTCTCTTTCTTCCATCTCTTTCCCTTATCCCTTCTCCTCCCTTCCCTCCAGTCTCCACCCTAAGTCCACCGACAGCAGACACAAAAGTGTCAACTCTGCTGTGTCGCACAGCAGTGATCAGCTGCAACGTTGCTGCCAGCGTTTTGGGTGGGTAAAGAAGTATGAAGCAATAAAGTGAAGTATGAAGCCATTTGGTAAAGAAGCCACTGTATTATTATCTATGAGTTGATTGATATCCTTTATGGTTGTGATTTTAGAATGGACCAGCGAGAGATTTTTTTTTATTAATACTTTTTCTGATCTTTTGAACTAAAATGTAAGGTGAAGTATGAATCCTACAAGTATCCTCATAGAGAGCACGTCGTTTGATCAAGTAACCGTTCCGTCTAATCCGGAGGGAAGGAGGGGAGAAGGGCACGCTTTAATAAAGTATTGGAAAAAGTTTCCATTCTCCCCCTTTCGTTCTTTAATATAGCTTTGTTCAGTCAAGGGAAAGATAAAATTCCAACAGGATGGAGCTGAGCTCTTCATTTGGAAATCATGCTTGAAATTAGATATACAAGCCTTGTTTTATGAGAATATCTGTTTGGTTGTAAAGCTTGCCATGTCATTGACCGATTGAATGCAAGAGGAACATGTAATGTTTGACTTCCCTATAAACACGTTACCTATTATATTGGTTCGGCTATAGTATTCTTGCAGTCTTCTCATTTTCATGGTAAAATTGATTCCATTTTGTTTGTTGGTGTCCTGGTTCCAATTGTATTATGTAGTTCTTCGTTCAACAATTGATGATGAATATGCAAATGCAGTTGATAGAGATCCTAAGATTTTACTTACCACATCGCGCAATCCCAATGCCCCTCTTACACAGTTTGTAAAGGTTCGGCTAGTCTCTAAATTTTCCAAATTTTTTGCTTTGTTTATTTGAACTTGGATTTGTTTCTTTTCGGTTTTATGTTTTTGCATAGATCATTTATTAATAGATATTTACTTTCTTTCCTAGGAATTGAAGTTTATCTTCCCTAATGCACAACGAATGAATCCTGGTGCTCAGAGTCTCGACGATGCTGCCAGCGTGGATGCTGTAATGACTACCAGCATCGCCTCGACATTTTTCTCGCAGTGGTGGATCTGGGGTGTGGTGTAACGACCCGACCTCTCATCAGAGCCGTTATCTTACGTACTGTCCGCTCTGGGGTGGGCTTCTGCCCACTTATCCCCTCATGGCTTTCTGACGCGTCCCAATTGGTACCAAAGATCCACTTAAGTC